CTCTCTCTCTCTCTCTCTCTCTCTCTCTCTCTCTTCTTACTTTTGCAGGATGTTGTAAAGTTTTAAAGAAAATTAATTGATATTTAGTAAAAGTCACTCACATACTTGTAAAAAAATGAAAGTAACAGAATATATAATAAACAAGATAACCCAAACATTACATTATAATGTGGATAAAATGCTTGTTATAAATCTGCATACTCTAAATCACTTTTTTTCTCGAGCGATTGAAATTTTATTTTTATCGTCTCGTATAATACTTTAATTTTAGATTAAACTTAGATGTTAAAAGATCTAAATTGGCGACAATTGTAAGTGTATGCGATCGCAAAAAATGCACTTGTTAATACAATATTTATTCTTTGAACGTAGGTTTACGCTCCTGACCCGCTAATAAGCGATTTGGAACGAATAAAACTAAAAATTAATAACGCAGTATCGACCGTGCGGAATATTATACAAGATCTCGAGCATATCCATGCTAGTACTATAGAGGATACTATTGAAATGGCCAGAGAGAGATGGTGGCGACAAATGCATAATTACAGAGATTATATTCATTTATTACTCGGTTCGATGCGCGTGAGTAATAATTGAAATCTTTAGATTTGTTCATAATCCATTTGTTTTATAATTTAAGTTTAATTAATAAATTGTAATAAAAGTATATATCAAGTAAGTATTTTCAGATGCAGATTTCTCAATTATTTTATGCATCAAAATAAAATTTTATGCAATGAAATGCTATTTTGTATATATTATATAAGAAATAATGAAGCAAGGCTCGTGTCGTTTCTAATCTGATTCCATGTATGATTATCGATGACATTTATTCTTTTAGAGAGAAGTAGAATATGCTAAGTCTAAAGATGTGGATGCGCAATCTTGCTACAATATCAATTCCGAAGCCATAGACATGCACGCTGAAACAGCATACGATACTGCTACAAAATGCATAGAATCTGCTGAAAAGTCTATTCAGAAAAGTCTTTCATTTATCGATAGTCTCATATCGGTAAAGTTTTCATTGTCTTTATTTTATTCTAATTATTCTAGTCTTTACGATCTAGATATAATTAACGTATATATTTCATTATAACTGTTGTATATGTAATATGTTAATACCTTTTACAGTTAGGAGAACAGTTGATAAAAGAATTGAAGGACCTCACGATGAATTGTTACGACGAAAATAGCATCGCAATGCAGAGCTGCCTTCTTTTAGAATTCGGAAAAGTCAATACCGCTGTGGAAAACTTTAATGATGATGCCAAAAACATCCAGTACAGCGTAATATCAGCGTCCAATTATGTCGTTCTACAGGCTACCCAATGCGTGACCAATACTTATGACTCAGCGTACTTTGAAAGTTATAGTCAAATGATATCTAACGCTGATTGCGTCCGAATTGCTCTGGATAAAAAAAAGAAAAATTGATTTAGACAGAGATTAGTGCACTTGTGTATATTTGATTTTACGATTTATCTTTAAAATTATATAACTCGAGAAAAACTATTTTCGAATTTTTATATTCTGAAAAATTAAGGCATGCCATTCGGCAGACGGAAAGCATGCTAGCATGCATATTGATTAAAACTTTGTTAATGAACTTTGTTACCCAGAGCTTATACGAATAAATATTATAAATAACACATTTTTAACTTACCTATGCTATACTCAAGAAAAATAAAAATAATAAAAAAAAATTATCGGAGAATTATTTGTATCGATACACTTTCTTACTCACTTGCGACCGTCACTCACTTGCGTGCGTGTTTCGAGACATTCGCAAAATTGTTTACGATAAGTCGCGTCTTATCGTTTTGTACATAGATTATAAACTGTGCTATCTTTTGAATAAAATCTAATAGCTTGTCGATGTAAAGTAGTATTATAATATTCCATTAAGATTTCATGTTTCATTAAGACATTGCGTATATAAAAGATTGAAATTAATATCGTTTATTAGTCAGTTTATTTTTGGTCAACCTGAATGATTCTAGGGTATACTAACGAACAATGAGAAGTGCCATAGTATTATGTCTTCTGGCTGTCTTTTGCACTGTAAGTTTCTCTTTTCCTTTGAATAACTAATTTGTGATAAATACGATATCTTGTCTTCGCGGAATGTTTATTTAAGGTTTATTATATGTGCATTTTAAGGTTTGATATTAAAGGTCAATTATAAAAATTTTAGAAAGACAAACATTTATCAAAGAAAAATCAATTTTAAATTCAAGATTTTTTATCGAAGAAATAAAGTTTCTTTTTTATTATTCTTTATTATTCGACAATACTGTCGTCGTTAAACTTACACATTAATCGATCAAAAATAATGGCACGAAAGGATATATATTTGGATATATATTCAAGATAATGCATTTGTTAATGCTGTTTACTTTCTGGAATTTAGGTCGATGCGACCCTTTTGAATATTTTGTTACTTCAAGTGCGGAATACAAAATGGGCCGTAGAGAGTACTATGCGACAAGTCGAGCTTATTCGCGATAGCGTTAAGCAGGACGTAGATTTGACAGTCCTGAAAAAATGGTTAGAACAAATAGAAAAGCACAACAAGTACATCGATCCAATACTCGATACCATATTTGTAAGTAGTTATTTGCAATAATTATAATTTGTGATCAAGTTGCACAAGTTTGACAGATTCTCAGAAATGTATATTAAATAAACTTTTTACGTTATTTTATATTTAAAAATATCATATTATAAGCCTGTTTGTCATTTCTTTATTCTACTTCATTCTTATCAAGAGAGAAGTAGAGGATGCCAAAGCGAGGGGTAAAAATGCGCAATCGTGCTACGATGCTGCACTTCTTATCGTCCGAAATATCAACTATGACGCATATACCGATGCCCAACGATGCCACGAATCTGCAAAAGACTCTATCAATAACAATCTTGGCTTCATCGATCATCTTATCACGGTAGATTCTGGCGATCGTAATTGCTATTCACATTCGGCTATTATCTATCAAACGATTAATCACCAAACTATCGTGATAATTTTTTTCATAGATCGGACGCGGACTGTTAGAAGAATTAGATAATATCTTTCCGGACTGCTACGAAAAGAATTCAAGACTTGTCGACATTTTCAAATTACAAAGCTGTATCGCCAATCAACTTGGTATAAGTAAGACTGGCGTAAAGGATTTGAAAACCGATGCCAGTACTGCCAGGTCTACCGCCAAATACGCGTCCAACATCGTCCTTAAAGAGGCTACTGATTGCTTAAACAACGCTTACTCGATCGCGCAATCCAAAGTTTCAGAGGCCAGAGCGGCTGCTACGAGATGCCTCAATTCTGTATAAGAAGGATTACGTTTATTCGTAACTTATATCGGTCTTATATCGGTCGATTACAATGTCTAAAATTATTTTCAAAAGAAATAGTTATAAGATATTTATAATTCGAAAACAAAAAACAATTTCGTAATTACGCATTTTTCATAACTATATTATCTTTTTTCATGAAATATAATGCTTGTGTTAAAGTAGATTTTGTGTATGTAATATTGCGCGAATCATATTTTCTATCAAAACACGATATTATTGTCATATTATCGTTAATGATATCATCAACGATATAAAATCATTTAATTATAGATCTTAGTAATCGGACCATAAAATTATGCAATAAATTTTCTGCGAAAAGTTATATGTTTGTGCAGTTTGAAACGTCTGTCTACATTTCTTGTCACATCTGTCTTAGGCCCTTAGGATTGTATGTTTGGTTTTCAGCGAGACTTAAATAAATGTCTGTCTTTATTTAGAAAAAAGATAAAGACAGATACATATAGTATGTAAGTATCGCTTAAAGCTAAAATAACGTTGGTGCAATCAGGCGTTCCAAGCAAATGGTGTGTTTTATATATAAAAGAATATATATATATATATATATATATACTGTATCTAGAAATCATAAATCGATATTTCACTTTGATATTTTGTAAATTATACATGTGCTTTTCAATTCAAATAAAAATGATTATAAGACAAAATTAAAAATTTGTTCGATATAAAACCTTGATAAAAGGATAAGGGTTGATAAAAGAGTTAAACATTATTATTGATGCTAATTAACTTTTATATCGTTAACGATTATTTTTTGATAACAATCATACATGAAAAATGTTTTATGTATATTATCATAATTAAAGCAATCATTATTAATTTGTATTTATTATAGTTAATAATCAGAGTTCTAGCTTTTATCGCTTTTATCTCTTATTCTTCAAGTGTGGTTTTATATAAAAAAATTTTTTATATTTTACCAAAAAATTTTTTATTTTGCATTTCTTCTTTCATTAGGAAAAGAAAAATAAGTTAAGTATTTTATTAAATTTATGTAATATAAAATTTTTTTATGATAAAGCACCATTTATGATAAAAATCCCTTATAACTTTGTCTTTGATAATGTAAAGAAAGTAAGTTTAGAATACTTGAAACAATACTTGCATTCTGAGATTAATATTTTCAAAATGATCTTTTATAAAATATCGGTTGTTTCTGTATAAGTGGCTATCCTCTTGTATTTCGTAACTAAAGAAAATAAATTTATAACAAATATAATATCTAAATTAAATATTTCGAACTGAATTTTCTCGTGAGGCACAGTGATTTTTGTAAAAATTATTCATATTCAAGAACAGATAGACATACATAACTTTTCATAGTAACGTACGACTCTTATTGTTGGCGATATTGCTGATTGAGTTAATCTAATTGAGTCGATTAAAATTAAGGCCACTTACATGAGAACATTTCATATATAACGTGTTACGAGATAAGGGATGGAAACAGATGTTTCCGATGAAGATTAATTTGCGACAAAATTCTTAGTACACTTAATCATAATTAAACATACTCTATTTGTTCCGGGATTATCAGGATTTCACACTGTGGGGAATCCACACAAGATTGTATACGGGTATATATTGTAAATTTTTCGTTTTGACGGACTTCCCACTTTTATTCATGTTGATACATACTACATGTGGGTTATTCATGCGCAGCCATGTATATATATATATATATATATATATATATATATACATACAAAATTAACTTGCTTGTCAGTATCAACTCGAGCAACTCCCGAGGAAGCATTAATCCAAGAAGCATGAAAACCATCGTAGCATTGTACCTCTTAATTGCCTTTTGTACAATGTTTATTCACCCGCGTTCTCCCAAATCACGGATGTCATATTGGCCGCTACCAAATGTCTCAAGGCTTTGTAAAACAATTGTTCCGATTTTACCATGATGTATATCTATGATCGATTCTATAAGCTTTTTGTCTTTGTTTACAAAAATTACTTTCGAGAGGAATAGGTTTAAATTATTTAATTTGTATCGCTATTTGTTTACGCACAAAGCATTACACCCTTTTTCATATTAATGAAGAGAAAATTACAATTTATTGACAACGCAATTCACTGCAAATATCTTATTACGCATGCAAAATTAATTTCGTGAAAATTAATGATATTAGTCACAATAATTTCTGTCAATCTGTCTGCCAATAAAAATTAATCTGGATCATTTTTTTTTTTATAAAATAGAATATTCAATAGGATAAATTTCATTATCAGTGTATTCATGAAAGTGAACAACCAAACGCAAATTTCACCGTTTTTAATCATTTAATCGTTTAATTATTAAAACAATTTGTATTTATGCATATAGTAAACCGAGCAAAAAATTTTGTGTGATGGAAATATTCCACAATTAGGATTATTAATGAGATAAAAGATCTATAATCTGCTTACATATTTACGTTTGAGTCATATTGATTTTGCTTTCACGAATATTGATTACAATCAAATCGTTTTTAATTATCGGATATTTTATTAAGACATTGTTAGAAACGAAATCAATTTAATCTGATTTAATGTTGAAGTGGAACAAATAAACAAGTGAATAAGTAAAAATGAATGAAATATTTTAACGAAAAGATAAGCTTATCTTTCTGTTTCAAATACTATGTCATGAATATTGATAATGTTTTGTTTGTTTTATATTTTTACAATAAAGTATTTGTAAGAATCGCAAAGATTTATGATTCTATTTTCTTTTTCGTATCAATAAAATCATCTTACGACAAGATTGATAAAGGTTGTTCGATAACATTGTAATCCAAATTGCTTATAATCATTTTACGTAATTCTATTTTTGAAATCTTAATGTATAACTGATATAATAATTAATAATGTTTTGTAAAAATACGAAACATTGCAAAAAATTGTACAAAATCTGCGATTCAATACACGTTTTACGTTATGTATTCATCATTTTAAGATACCATTTTAAATGATATTTTTTATATTGAATTTTTTATATTGAATTTATTATTAAATAAATAACAGAATGATCTCTAATTATATTTATATTAAATACCAATGTATTTATCAATCGATTAAAAAATCCAATACATCTTTACAATCGCGACATACACGTATAATATATAGATAGTATTGTGATGCATGATATGCATATCAAGCAAACGAATGCGAATAAATAATTTTATTTTAATGAGTGTTAGCCTAAACAACGAAACCAATTATTGTGTTTGAGCGCGTTTGTTTATTTGGCATTTGGTTTATTTCGTTATTCGAGAAGTATGTAGAATGATCGAAAAGAGCTAAAAATAATAAGAATAAAAATAATATTTTCTAATTATTCCGCTGAGTTTTTTCGATTATCTACAGATAAAAATGTTGCACAATTGTGCTTTGTAGTATTGCCACGGTGGCGCAACGGGACGCTCCGCGTGTTGGAGCTCGTTAAAAATCAATTTTACCGACCAGTCGAATCTTACCTCCGTCAAGTAGCGTGCTCTGCATCGCGTATGTTACATTACACAGTGGCGACCGAATTTCGACGAATTCAGCCGAAGAGAATCTTCGATCTCGCCTGCCAACAACGAGTGTTGGCGAGCGTCGCACGCTTGACAGCGTTTGACAGCGTTTGACAGCGTTCGGTCGCGGTCACGAGCAGCTGATCGAGTGACAGGAGGACAGCGCCCACGCGTTTTATTCACGATGACGCATCGCGATTCGCCTCCTGCGCTTTTTCATCATCGGTAAACCGATCGGCTCACCGATCGATAAGCGCACCGGCTCGGTCGGCTTGGTCGCGCCAGTGAAAGCGTGGCCGCTAGTCAACGTCAACGTCAACGTCAACGTCAACGTCAACGTATACGTTCGTAAACGCATACATTCGTAATATCGACACATTCGCGTGCGATCGCTGACGGTCGCCGCACGTTCACGTTTCACGCGTGCCTACCTACGCGCATACATACGACACACATACGCGCGCGCGTGGCGGCCGTTCACACGTCATAAGAGCCGCAAACACGCTGTCGCACGGCTCAGACTGTGTTTCGGAGCAGCGCGTGTCGCACGTATATCGCGAGTATATTCAGCGAGAGTGACCGCTTCCGCTTTCCTACTTTTCTCATCGATCGAATTTTTCATCAAGTCTCTCCGTTCGACTTTTCGCCCTCGTACATCTCTCCCTCCTATCTCTCTACGTACGTGGCGGACGTGGAGGACACCTTGATAACATGTGCGGTAAGTACATATAGCGAATATTGTTTCGAATCATCGTCGCCGCCGACGCTTTCTCCAACGGCTTTGACACGTACGTACCGCGTACCGCGCTCGACGAATGGCGAATTTGATTTCACTTATCGCCTGCGTGACGTTACGCGGCGCGTTCGTGAATTTCGTCAGGTACAACGCGCGAGAGTTGTTATCGCGTCCAATTCGATTGCCATACATTCGGAATGGACGTGGAGACGTGGAAATTGAAATTGGCAAGATTACGCCCAGTATCTGTGTCGAAGACAAATCGAGACTTTCTAGTCTTTCTAGTATGCGATCGTCCAATTATCGATTAATGTGTATCGTGATATCGACGAAGCTACGTACGAAAAAAAAAAAAAAAAAAAGATTGTCTTTATTGTAGCTAGGAATAAATTTAAAAATTACATAACGATATTTACATTATCGATGTATTATTATTTAGATCGTACACAATATGTTATTATTTTTTTTGCTCGTTCTTGTGAAACATTATTGATACAAGTTTGTATTACGTTAGAATCTCCTTTTTATCCCGATGTCATATGACTTACCTATCATATATCTAATAAAGTAATGTTTAATTTTAATTTCGCTATTTCTTATCGGAAAAACCTTTGTAATCTTTATTATAACGCACATACTCATATTTTAATGATTTATGTTCTACTACCTAGAATAATAAAGTACCGATTATTTAAATATATATGTATATTTATGGCATGCGAATAAATTTGTTAATCAGTTCTACGAGGTTTGTATTCTACGGGAAAACTAGTATATTATTTTTCTGATTTATCTGATTTATCACCAATGATAAGTGAATATATATAGTATTTATAATATAACTGATCACTATCAATCAATCAATCAATCATCTGCGCTATTCATCATTTTTAATTAAACTCTGATAAATATATTTTTTCTTTCAAAGCGATAAGAAAAAATACTATAATAGTGATATACTTTACCGTTTATTATACCGGAAGTATAAGATCAAATGAGGAAACAAACAACATGTGTTATATCAATTATAGAGTTTGTCGTCATATACTGTAAACGAGCGAGCGATATGTATGCTAATTTTAGACAAAATGTCAGTCAGATTATTAATGAAATTGGCAAATGGTATGCTCTTTAGTGTATACTGTGTTGTATATTTCGGAAAACTATCCTCAGTACAAAATTTTATTATTTTTATACGTATACGCGCATCGATTGTTACACAACAATCGATTATTTCAATTGATTATTAATTTTTTCATTTGATTTATTATTAGTTATTTTAATTTTAATAGTATATCTCGTTATGAATGATTTCGACATCGTCCATGCAGTTTTTTTAATAAATTCAATTACGTAATCACGTGAGTTGTCGCGATGGTTTTCGTTTTAGGTCCGATTATACAACACGCATCTAGATATAAAATGTATCTTTCCATAAAATCGAAACAAGATCATTTCTCATTGTATTTCGCATTATATTCAAAGAGAAAGAGCTTCATGTTGAATTTGTCCCACGCAAAGCTCAAATTATAGGTTCCAGTTTATATATTTTTAAGTTCGTCGCTAAAAAGTGCTTAATTAATTTAATGTTTGAGCTTGGAAATCATGTGTGAAAGGTTTGAATAAGGTTTGAATTTTTCATTTGAAAAAAAGCATGCATTATTTTACCGTTACTGTGGTTACCGAGTTGTGAGAACGAAAGGCCAACTTCGATAGGAAAGTGATTCAAACGTGTTCTTACTGCTTGCCGCTACTATTCTCGTACCACGGTGTGTAATAGGATGTTGGTGATACGTAATTTCTGGCCTGATACGAAGCGGTACCAACTTGGCGCAGTCGAGTGAAAGTCTTCTTTTCGTTGTGTGCGAGCGAACCTGAGCGAACCTGAGCGAACCTGAGCGAACCTGAGCGAACCTGAGACGAGAGGGTGCAGCAACATGGCACAGGACAGTTACATATGACATTTAGACGCGACTGAGATATCTACCTTCGAATACTCCTTTCTCCCCAATCGTCCCAGCCATTTCGTGCCACCTCGCGCACATTCGATTACTTTGAATATATATTCATTTACAAAACATTCAAGCACACAAGCGTGGAAAATACATTTAAATTATTGAAGGCATGTTGAATAACCGATATCGTATTTAGTATTTTAGTTTATTATACCGCGACATTCTTATTTTTCGTCTTATATATAATTTTACTTATAAATATATCTTTATATAAAATTATTTATTATACATCTTTAAATATTTGATATATTATATTACGTAAATGCAGATTTTGCTCAATTGCTATATTTGACGCAATTGTAGAATTAAACGGAATAGTATGTTCCAAAGAAGCGATATTTTATTTGTCAATCGTCAATCGAGATTTCCGTCCAATTGCCGTGAGGCTCATACGAAGAATATATAGTGGTTAGTAGGTCGAAAGGCCAAGTTCGTGTTAGATGATATTATCGTGATTATCCATCGACCGGTCGTTCAACCGCGATATCGTTCACGCACATCGGCTGCATTTCAATTGCTTTTACATCGCGATAAAGTTTCGACGTGTTTCTCGTATTGGTCAAATGTTATTACTATCAGCGGATGTTTCAAAAGATTACTATTAAATATTTATACGTTTGAGTATTGTTCCTCGCCCGTCCAATTTCTTATCACGCCATACAGTAAGATATTGAAATAAGATATCGAAAAGTAGAAAACATCGAATGTAAATGTGGATGTTGAATCTGTGCCTCGTCCAAGTTTTCTACTCAAGTTATTTTTTTCTGGCAAATGTCGTATCATTTTTTTACATGATACACAAAAAAGTGCGATAACGAAGTAGTTGGAGAAAAAAATATCGTCTAAGGATATATTCGTTGTTATAAAATTATCTTTAACTAATGTTAATCTTCGAGCATAACCACGTATGATGTTGATTTTTGATGAGCGTAATGATAAAAATCTCTCGAATATCGCGCCTTTTCGTTTTTTTACACCCGGTAATTTCAAGATACTGTCGCATTCGTTGTTCGATAAGAGATTCTTTGTCACTATGCAAGGTCGCTTATCATCCGTGACATCAAATGGCTTTTACGGCTGATTTTTGCGAACATGGAAGGGAAATTATCTAATAAAGTCTCACGATTCTTTCGATTGCGTCGGATATTCATGTCGATCATCGCATCCGATAAGTAAATTTAGTATAATTCAAATATCCGTTTAAATCTTACTAAAATCAATCATGCAGTTTTTCTTGGAAATGTATTGTAAAATAATTTGCATCACTATATTGATCTGCTATTGATCGATAGATAGATGACAGAGCTCTCATTTTACACTTCTCATTTTCTGTTTCATAACAACATTCTTCTGATCTACGGGCGGGTGATAGGCATAGGTGATAGGTTTATCAGTTTATATTTTTTTGACGATTACCGAACAGTCTTGCTTTTAAATTGTTTAAATCTTTAATGCAAATATTGCTAGTTAATGTTGCGAGACGAAAAATATTTTAATTCTTGCTAATCGCTAAGGCTAACAGTTGATAAACGCCAATTATTAATGTTACTTACTTTCGCCGTTATCTTTGATCTTATTTTTATATATATTAACGATATATATTAACTCGAGGATAACAGATGCGTCACTGTTTGCTCATGTGCTCTTATTATAATATACATCGATATTTATCGCGTACTCATAGTTGCAGAATATATCTATGTTTCCTTTACCGATGCAGATATCTTTTATGGAAAAACTAATAATTTTATTTCAATTACAATCTTAAAAGATGATTTTTTTAATGGATGCACAGGAATAAGAAATTGATTGATTATGATTATTGTCAATATCGCAATCGATAAGATTGCGTTTATCTAGGAAGGAAGGAGAGTTACAAAAATGCCTAGGAAACTTTCGGAGTAAAATCAACCCAAGTAAAAGTGGGATAATTGAGTACGTTCGAAAAGAATATTAGATCTTTTTCATATAAACAGTATACTCGAATATCACATTTAATAATTTCTAGAGTTGACAAGGTGTAAAAAATACTACAATATTTATGTCGTTAGAAATCGAAAAACTTTTGTATTCTTAATGTCAATGGATGTCAGTTTCTATCGTGAAATTTATTACAAGAGACAAGAGATTTACTATTGAGCTTTTTTTTACATATTTGACTATCACAATATTATAAACGGTATATTTTGTGATTTTTTTACTAAAGTTACATATAATGAGACAGAATATATTTATTTAATATATTCTATTGTATTTTACCGCATACACTTGGTTCGTATGTAATTCCATCCAATTGTCATCAGGAGGCTATATATGTAATGTTATCGGATATGTGCGCATATTGAAACAATAATAAAAATAGCTTTGTAGAAGGAACATATTGGAACTATTCGCTTAAATCAATACGTTCCAGTCATGTTGCACTGCCTAATCATAAAGTGGTATAGTGCTCATCCTGTTAATATAAACATTAAATTACTGACCGATAAGATTTGATAAACCATATTCAATCAAGTGATTTGGATTTTGCAAGTAAATTTATGCTAGTTTCGTCAAATATTTTATTAATTATACTCAATGAAAATGGCAAGTTGTAGATTTCAATTTTTAGTTTGTATATAATATAAATTAATATCACTAATTGATGATTCAAGAAATATGTAAAATTTAATAAAACATTAAAAATTCTTTCTCTCTCTCTCTCTCTCTCTTCTCTACTACTCTCTCTCTCTCTCTCTCTCTCTCTCTCTCTACTCTTACAAATACAGAAACTAAGATTAAGTTGATTTTTGTTTAAAGTCAAAAATAAACCAAATTGAATTGAGTCAAAGATTAGAGTCGAAGGAGTTGGAAAGCATCTTTTAGCATAAACCTGATTTCTATTTTTATTCGAAATTTGATGATCCTGCATATACAAATATGCTTGCTTCGCGATAACATAGCGATAACCGTCTGATGTTCGAATCTCTCATATCTTCACGCACGTGCACTTTCCCTTTCACCAACGCGCGTCTTGTCTTACCTGTTCTCTCTCGCTATTAGGCCAACTGAAATCTCTCCTTCTCCGTTCCTCGCAACTGTTCACGGGCGTCAGCTTTTTGCATTTTTGTAACAACCGACTATTTATAACAACCGGCAGCATTGAATGTCCGATACGTTATGTTTTTTGATTTTCATCCTAAACTTATTGATATTCTTCATCTTGATCTAAATTATATGTCATATTTCATATTTCATATTTTAATAATTATATCGTATTTATGTGCTATAATGATGGTTTATGATTATTATATCCAATAATATTAAAATTTCGAAGATTTTTTTGATATTGTAATTCCAATTGTAATATCTTGATTAGATGATTATTTTTGTCAATAAAAAAAAATCAAATGATCCCTCTCTGCGATTTTTTTTGCATTCTTGGATAAATTGGATTTTTTATCTTTCCGCATTCTCTCGCAAATATGACTTTCAGTATGAAAAGATGGTGTAAAGATCAGTAAAATTAAGAGATAACCTACTGCGAATAATTTTGATTTTGTTTGGCTGATTATAAGCTCTTGGAGAAAAATCATAAAGAAGCAAATTTATTGTATTTTAAAATGCATTCTATAAGAACAAGAAAGATCAAAGTATTTGCATTAAAAATTGAAATATGTATAGGAGAATTAATCAATGATACCAAGTTTTGTTAAATAAATATATGTGTAGCACTGACTCGGAGCAACCGAACCATGCAAGGATAGAAAAACTACATTATGCAGTACAATAATGTAATTAACAAAATACATGTATCGAAGGAGAAATAGTAAGAGGTGAAAGGGTATTAATGGAAACCCGAGAGGCAGTAATAGTTAAATTATAGAAGAAATATTAAATAGATTTGCAATAAGAAAAGTTGCCATATGATTGTTATAATTAATTATATCTAATTATATGAATTATAAAAATTTTATAATCGTCTAATATGTTAGATATTAGGTGTGCGCGCGCGCGCGCGCGCGCATGTGTGTGTGTGTGTGTGTGTGTGTGTGTGTGTGTGTGAGGTGTGCGTAAAGATTATTGATTAATAATAATGTTATATAATAATTTATAATGTTAATGAAAGACGATAATCAAAATATAAGTGTGTATGTGTATATAAAATTATCATTACACAGATACTGAAAAAATGCGAATTGTAATTATGTTTTAAATCCCCAGGAATTTTTGCTTATTTAAATTACTTGACGCCGAAAAGCAGGAAGGAGATCTTGGAACTGTTAGTCGTTGGTTTAAAGAGATTAGAATATCGCGGATATGATTCTGCAGGTAAGTTGATACTTTTAATTTAAAAATCTCTTTCCTCGTGAAAAATTCCATGTATTTACAAAAACGCAATTTCATAACGAAAAGATAGAGAGAAAATTAAAGTATTTTGAGCAATAATAAAAAGGCCATAATTTATGACTTGATTGACTGCATCTAATATTAGAAAGATACGCAGAATATTTAGGGAAAATAAAATTTGTTAAGTATTTGAAGATTGTCACATTTAACAAGTAATATAATTCTCATTTTTGTTTTGCATTACGTTATGCAGAAAAATATACAATTATTATCATTCTTGCGATATTGTTACATGCTTCCCGAAATGTATATACAAGCTGATACTTGCAATTTTAAATGTCGTTTAAGTTTTTAAATGTCCATCACGGTAAAAGGATATTTCGTCGTCTAAATTACATTCCCACTGCATCCAATCTAGTCCCTCTACTTCTTCTTATTTATTTTTCGCTTTGATTCGATGCGATTCGATGATTCCAAGAAAAAGAGAAAGAAAGAGAGCTTTTCCGCTAAATAAAAGACGCGACATAATATATTGGTCATAGGAATTCCTTTATTCCTTTATTCCTTTTGTAGGCGTTGCCCTCGACAGCGCGGATGGCAAGGACATCTCGATTATTAAGAAGCAAGGAAAGGTCAAGGCTCTCGAAGAGGAGATATTTTGCCGTAAGTGTCGGCTGCAGTTTTCAGACTTGCGGAACCACTCGACGTTCTATTTCTTGCACGATCGCTTTTGTCGATTGTATTGTGTGAAAAGAAATACGTGAGCGTCCGATCGATCGTATCGAATTTCTATCCGCGTAAAATCCGCAGTGTTTATTCACAGGCACCAATCTTGACTTTGAGTCGGAAACTCAATATCACGTTGGCATTGCTCACACGCGATGGGCGACTCATGGTGTTCCGTCAGAGGTGAATGCCCATCCTCAGCGTTCTGACAGCGAGCACGCTTTCGTCGTTGTTCATAATGGTAATAATGCAATGTACGCGTAAAACGCGTGTATGCGTTTCGAAAATCTTTCTTTCGATTCGATTCTTCACATACGATTGTACCGAACGTAGGTATCGTGACGAATTACAAGGAAGTCAAGACTCTTCTACAACAAAGAGGATACGTGTTCGAAAGCGACACCGATACCGAAGTTATCGCCAAATTGATCCATCATCTTTGGGTACAACATCCCGCATATTCGTTCCGTGAACTCGTCGAACAGGTTGTTCAACAATTGGTAAGAATTACGGAGGAAGAATGTAATGAAAGCCATTTCCTTTGTGAAAAAAGAAGCTCTTATCTAAAGCTCAAGTAAAAACTGCTCTTAATAGTAATTTCAATTTTTCATTTCATTTTAAATCACATTTTTTTGAAAAATTTAAAACAATAAAAAAATTGAGATAAGGCGATGATAAAAAAATTATTTTAGGAAGGAGCTTTCGCGCTATGTTTCAAGAGCAAGTACTTTCCGGGAGAATGCGTGGCTACAAGGCGAGGATCGCCGCTTCTTGTTGGTATCAAGACAAAGACAAGACTGGCTACCGATCATGTGCCTATCCTTTATGGAAAAGGTAAGTTCAAATATCATTTAATTTTAATTTTCGACCTATGCCAGAGATATCATTGCCAGAGATTATTCCTGATCAAATATCGATAGCAACTGTCGATTCAACATCATCTGGTATTAATACAAGTCAAGCATTTCACTACTTCGGAAGAAGAAAAGAACATTATGTTAAAGAGGTATACACGTTTCCCTGTGTAATAATTAATGAATCAATGAAGATGCGGCGTATCGCTTTCAAATCTCTATTGTCTACTTAATCTACCTGCCGATTACGTATATCATGTCAATACCACATTTCGAGAAAAAGACGAATCTAATGGACAACTAACTAGGCATGCGCTTTTTTCATTAATCCAAATTACAAGTCATTTGATATGAAAATGAATACGCTCGTGTAACTAAATTATATTTGGCCTCATTGTTTATATTGTTATCATACGCACATATCCCCTTGTATTTTAATATTATATCGCATACTGCAATTGATCGAAAGTATTATATCAGCGTTAACTTTTATGCGATGTTCATTGAGATAATGCTTATCAAAAGAGACATCGCTGCATATGTTTACGATTATATCATAAAATCACGTATTGATTTAGATAAAAAGATTTTTTAAGACCTCTCGAGTTATTCTTTATATTATTTGTAACAAAAAATATAATAATAGATATAATTACATAAAAATTAGTTATATTATTTATTCTTGTGTGGCTTGTGCAATTTCTTTCGCTCTCCTTTTCATTTTGTCCATCAGTAACATCGTCAAGGAATTCGACTAAATGCATGATTATCAATTTAAATACTTCGCCTATTTTTTTAGATTTCGGCAAATGGCATTGCACGTAAGCTCTCTTTCCATGAATTTAATGTGGATTATTACATAAGTGTTTCTTTTGCATGAACACCTTGCGGTTATGTTCTACTGTTCAACTTTTCACGCCGTCAGACGATCTTCAATGCGCAATAAACAAAGGTACATACTCTCTCTACTATCTATTAAATGTATCTTGATTTCCATCCTCGGCACTGGATCTCTCGCTATAACGAGAGCTTAAAAAAATGAAAATATTACGATATTGAATCGTATCTATGTGTGGTATGTAAATCAAAATTTGTGTCATGTGTGTAATATCACTTGATTCATTCGATCAAATATCAACTATCGTTATGATATATCATCGAGCATACGCTATTCTATCCTTACTGTAAGATCCAGTGGTTGAGGAATATCTAGATATTTTTTATGATTTCTGCATTGAATTATTTTTCGCGAAAATTTATCGCTAATTTGTCTACTTCGACAATCACATTCGAGGTCGCGTCTTCATGCAGTCTCTCATCATTCACGGGATGTTATTCAACGGAATACTCTTTCGCTTTAACACAATAACATACGCTCTCATCGCTCGCTAATTGGCATATTTCTGTTCTTGCTCCAAGTGAATTCATCATTTATAACGTAAACCTGCTTTCAAGACGAGACTTTTCTAATCTTTTTCTTACAAACTTTTTCTCACTACAAACAAGACGGAAACACTATCGCGATAATATGTAGACATATGTATATCTTTTTTAAGCAACTTTATTGGAACGCAAGTTTTGGTATTATAAAAACATATATAAGATATATGCTACATATCTTTTTAAAATCACTAGATTGACATAAATGATTTGTTTTGACGATTTTGCGATGAAGTATGTTGAAGACATTGCAGGATTATTGTTTACTGCAACAGAGTTGATGATAAAACCCATCTAATTGTTAGTACAAAAATCCAAGGGATTAACCAAGGAGTATATAATATTTCTTGTCAAAAGCGTTAGTCTTCGAAGCAATAAAAAACGGTAAAGCGATATATGAAACGATATATATGTATATACATTTTACATTTACAAGAACTTGTGGCTTTTATATGATGCATACGTATTCGCGCAATAATGTTTCTCGACAAAGTTTGCAAAAAAAAAGGTATAACGTAAAAAAAAGTTAAAATTATTTTCTGTATTATAAAATAGTATGTAATATTAACTGTATTTTTATATTTTTTAAGCAATCTTTAAAAAGATTTTAAATGAAAAAATTTCCATAGTAATTTTTAACGATAGATATTAGAATAAATTAAAAAGCAAAAAATAAAATTTTGTTCCAAAAATTCAACGTATTATTTTTTAATAAAGTTTTTAATAAAGTTTTCGTTGCGCGCTTGATGCTCATTCCTTGTGCCGTATACAGCATTCATCAAATTTATGTTTGTCGTTATATCAATCATTATGCTGTTATCGTTGTGGCATTATTTGTACGCTAATCGTTTTTGTTTTCTTTCTCGTTTTCTCCTCCTCCCCCGCGTCCCAATCTGTGCAGAAGGTGAAACACCATCTCAAGGTAATACTTTACATTAAGTTTAAGACTTAATCTTTTCTCTGCTTGCACTCTACATCTGATTAACTATTTCGGTGAATTAATTGAATGATTTGCAAATAAATCTAATTGATCCTTTTTAACTATAAGCGGTTGCTCGTCTGGCTTTTATGGATAAAGACGATGAATGGATGACGGACGGTATCATACCACGCTTGCCGTACGTATATTATGACCTTTCTATCGTGTATAATTTACAAATTATTCCCGCTTTCCGCTTATAACGGGCTTCTCACCTTCTATCTAAAGTTAGATTAATGTAAGGGAATATATAACATACTCTCGGGATATATATATATATATATATATATATATATATATATATATATATACTCAATTTCCACTTACTGGGTACTATTGAATAATCGACGTTACGTCACGTCTATTTCATCGTAAGGGTATGTATTCCGTTAACATTATTGTCGATCTGTGCCTTGTTCATCGTTATTGTTATCGATCGTGACACCAACACTATCTTTGTTTATTTTGTCATTGCGGTATTATAATTCTGATTATCTCACTATATATTAACATATTTGGGTATTATTAATATTTCTCTAGATTGTGAAATATCTAAATTATGTAATAATCGCTACACTTTCGCTGTTTGCGCGTACTCATTTACATACATTCGTACATACATCGTACCGTGTTATATTGCGCCAAACCTGGTGTGGGGCTTAAAAAATACATACGTAAGCACAAGTAACTTAATGCTCCTATTTTCTCTTTATGTAGCCATATCGATTTATGATAACGGAAACGAGAAATGATATAAAATTTTTTCTTGTTCTGTATGAAATAAATTTTTCTTATCATTAAAAACTCTTTTTGTTATTTTGCTTTAGCAAAAGCGCATAATATAACACAATCTGTATGTGTTCTATGCTTTCTGCGAAAATAAATGTTACAATAAATTAAAGTCTAAAGTTATTAATCTATAGACGCAAGAATTTTTGTTACATCTTATATTTTTGTACCATCAAACGTGTGTGGTAGCATGTAAAACAAACTAATGTATTTCAATAGAATGCAAGAAGGAAAGTTTACACGATATCTCGCTCCTGTAATCCAGTACACAGAGAGAAAATGGGAGGGAGTTGTATATGTAAATTTAGCGCAATTATAATAATTTTGAAAGAAATTAGTAATTAACCACATATTTTTATCTTGAATATCTTAGATAGTCAATTTTGTTTTTTCTTATCACTAACATCTTATTATTACATAAAAGAAATATACTAGGCGCAAGAATATGTGTAATAATAAATCTTATGCGTCTAATGTATACAAAAATATAATATTTTCGTAATATCGTTCGTATTGTAGATGATCTTTTTTTGTCGGGTGGTTTTAAACTCTTTTAGTATGTTTTATGTATGTTTGCTTCATCCTTATTATATCGCGCGAGAAGTTTATAGTGAAAATGGAAATAAAATGGAAATTTTGTAAGCAGAATTTTTAACTTAAAGTCAACTTAAAATTAAGTTGCAAAGAAAATGTTTCTATTTTTTAAGACCGATTTTTCAAATATCTTGCTTCGTAAAACGAAACAACGATTCAATCTCTGCGCAGATCATCGTCCACATGGCAGAAATCCGGAACTTCCGGTCATGCCGCGTAGCGAGAGTACATCCGAATTTCAACCTCTTGAAGATAAGGAGGTTGAGTATTTCTTCGCTTCCGATGCAAGTGCCATAATCGAACACACCAATCGTGTGATATTTTTAGAGGTGCGAATTAAAGAGTTATGCCAAATTTTTTTAAGCAAAATTGCAGACAGACATTTTATACATCGTATATAATATAGGATGATGACGTGGCAGCTGTTAAAGAAGGCGCGCTAAGTATCCATCGTCTTCGTCGGTGCATGGATGATCCTCACGCTCGCGAAATTACGACACTTAAGATGGAAATTCAGCAGATCATGAAAGGCAATTACGATTATTTTATGCAGAAAGAAATTTTTGAGCAGCCGGAATCGGTGGTAAACACCATGAGGGGACGCTTGAATTTTCAAGATAACTCTGTCACCTTGGGCGGCATTAAAGTAATTTTTTAAACGATTTTTCGCAAACATTAAAAACATTAAAAAAAAAGAATATTTTTTCGAAAAGAATATTTTTTTTTTATAGGATTACATTCCCGAGATCAAGAGATGCAGACGTCTTATGCTGATCGGTTGCGGTACGAGCTATCATTCCGCTATAGCCACGCGACAGCTTCTCGAAGAATTGACAGAGCTGCCAGTGATGGTCGAGCTCGCGTCCGACTTTTTGGATCGTAATACACCGGTCTTTAGAGATGACGTTTGTTTCTTTATTTCTCAATCGGGTAAGGCTTCACCGAGCGTTTGTAGAATATTGTTGTACAGTAAAAAAAAAATGAAATACGGACGGATAAGACAATTTTAAGTCGGACACAATAAAAGTTATTTAGTTGTGACTGAATCATTGAACTTTTCGTAATTACAGGCGAAACAGCTGATACATTAATGGCACTACGTTATTGCAAAAGCCGCGGAGCTCTTATCGTGGGTATAACTAACACAGTCGGCAGTAGTATCTGTCGCGAGTCTCACTGCGGTGTGCACATCAATGCTGGTCCTGAAATCGGTGTAGCGAGTACAAAGGCCTATACCTCACAATTCATTTCCCTTGTGATGTTTGCACTGGTAATGAGCGAGGATAGAATCTCTCTTCGCGCGAGACGTTTACAAGTGCGTATAACCATCGATTTAATAATTATTTTTTTATTAGTAAATTGTGTTTAAATCCTACGCGCATATCTTTCAGATTATCGAAGGTTTGAAAAATCTCGATAATCTCATTCGCGAAGTATTGAAGCTCGATGATAAGGTCAAAGAGCTAGCCAAATCTTTGTTTCAACACAAGTCTTTGTTGATTATGGGCCGTGGATATAATTTCGCTACGTGCATGGAAGGCGCACTCGTAAGTCCGTAATAAGAAGCGATATGTTCTCTCTTTTTAATTAACGTTGTCACGAATAATTTTTATTTGCAGAAAGTTAAAGAATTGACGTATATGCACAGCGAAGGAATTATGGCCGGTGAATTAAAGCACGGCCCGTTAGCTCTCGTTGACGATTCTATGCCGGTAATTATGATTGTGATGAGAGATCCGGTGTATGTGGTAAGTTTGGCATGATATTCTCTTATTTGAAACTTTGTAATCAACCTCTTATAAAATGAGTAGCATATGTGAGAGGAGTTAAATTCGAAATTCGAAATTTATGTCGATTTCCTACATTGACTCGGGAATACCTGTCTATTATTATCGTCAGAATTTTAGAGAGATATAGAAATCTCTGACATTTATTATTTAACATAACTTGTTTTGCAGAAATGCATGAATGCACTTCAACAAGTTACCGCGCGAGATGGCAAACCCATTGTTATTTGTGAGGAAGGAGACGAGGAAACGAAGGCTTTCGCCGATAGAGCTCTTGAGATACCCAAAACTGTCGATTGCTTGCAAGGAATTCTCACCGTCATTCCCATGCAGTTATTGTCTTTCCATATCGCGGTTATGCGTGGTTGTAACGTTGATTGTCCGAGAAACTTGGCAAAGTCGGTTACGGTCGAGTAAAAATCGAATGGATTGTTCCATGAGTTTTTTTTTGGGACCACAGATTTTTTGTTAACGTAATTGCTACGAACTTTTCTCAAGCCACGAAAACGAAAATTATAGATAGAAAAGAAATAATTATCATCGGGATACATCATGCGATTAATAATTAGCGCAAATGCCGACATGATGTTTTTGTCTTTTAACTCTCGTTAAACTCAGTTTTTCTCTATTTCTTATTTACATTTGTGTGATGTCTAATAATCAATCGTATCAAATGCAAAAAGGTTGTGCTAGAAGAGTGATCATCGCGGCACATACTGTCAAATATCTTTGATCGATTTATGATTCATATAAATTCTTCTGTAATAAATATATTGCGCAATAATAACAATTAATACAAATACTCTTCTTTTACGAAGAGTGATATATGAGAAAGACAGAGAGAGA